CCTAATACTATAGGGCCTCCATCATGGAGAAAAATCACAATTCGTCGGGGAGAAACAAAAATTGTATGTATTTTCTACATATTAGTAGACTCTAGTCTAAACCTTTTATTCTTTATTCGCCAAAAACAAAAAGTACAATACAATGTAATTAATCGTAGTTCGACCACACCCACTTTGCTTTTGTCGGGAAAATCTGATCCCTAGTCGGAGGCATTGGAACCCCCAGCCGGGGACCTCGGCCCCACGTCGGGCAAATCCTGGTGCCATCCCTGACGAACAGCCGATGCTGAAGGCACTGTGGGCGTACCATACACGAAATATTATTTCGAGGGAACGAAATAGTATTTCGAGGGAACGAAATAATATTTCATTCCCTCGAAATATTATTTTGAGGGAACGAAATAATATTTTGAGGAAACGAAATAATTTTTCGCTCCATCGAAATAATATTTCGAGGAATTTCGTTCCCTCAGAATGATTTCGTTCCCTCGAAATGTTATTTCGTTCCCTCGAAATATTATTTCGTTCCCTCAAAATATTTTAACTAACCATGTCCCTTTAGGGTCTCCGTACCTATGCATGATCACATTAGCCCAAGATTACAGCTCCACGAGGCAGATAAAGCATTACACAAATCAAAGCATCTCTGCAGGCAGCTCTCATCTTGGTCTAAGAAATCAGCTTGTCATGCCTCTCAAACAGAGAAACAAGTACTAGCATTCGGATTGATTTTCTCCATAATTACTGGTTCAACAAAAAATATAACTTTCTTTTCAATAATGATCATAATAATAATAATAATCGATTCCAAAATATAATCACTTCACTTTTTGAACGCCTTTTATTGTATCTGTTGTACACCTGCCAAATCGTGACAAAACTTACTGGCAGGTTTTACTCTTATAGCTGACAAACAAAATACATGCAATGTATTGGTGTTGAAATGGAAATATTTTGGAAACAGAAATATGGGGATTTGGTTTTTAGCGTCACATGTTTAAATGTAAAAATGAATTAAAGATATTCCCAGTAAGTTTTAAAAAAAAGTGAAGTTAGTACTGTATAAAACAATGTACACCATTACTGCAATTGCACTAATTTAAATATTCTGCCTACGGTAATACGGTAAAAAAAAAAAATAATAATAATTTAATAATAATAGATGGATTTATGTAGCACAAATAAACGAGGTCTCTATGCACTCGACAATATTGTAGGTTAAATAGTTTTTGAAATATCTGGATTGGGACGTTTTCCTTTGAATGGTCCTCATATGCACACCCTACTCCAAATAACGACCAAAATTCACCTCATCTTTGGGCCATACCTGATAATCCCTGTAACTTTTAAGATCTGTGCAGCTCTTTTTGAAATATTTCGAACACAAGAAACATGCACTACCTTAAACATTTAAATGACCCTCAGGTTTCACCCCCAAATTTGGAATGTGACCAATGCTTGATAATTTCTACTGTAACTTGGTTAAGCTTTCACAAAAGTTTCATTCATATCAGTTTTGAGATATCTTGTCTAGGACGTTGACTTTAAAACCTTTAAATGGCTCTCACATCCACACCCATATTCAAGACCGTCACCAAAATTAAATCATTTCTTCATTCCCTGCAATTATCAGGTATCTGTGCAGTCATTTTAGAGATATGTCGTACAAAAAAAAAACACACAAGAAAACACCAAAATGTGACACACACACATACAAACTTACACAACTGAAAACATATATCTCCTGGTGGAGATAATAATACTATAAGAATAGGGGCTGAAATTGTATAATATTTTGTTCATTATATTCACATCATGAATTATCCTGAAACATGGTCGTTGCATGTTATTACATTGGAAAAATACTATAAAAATCAAAGTGGTGGTATATTTTTCATACCTGTTGTTTTTCGTACATGTTTCACAAGCAGGTTGTTTGTAAGTTAGTTGTTCGTACGAAGTTTGTACAGTTGGTATAGGTGTCTCATAAGCTGATTCGTCTGCCTTGCTCACTGCATTACTCAAATTGACACAGGTGATAGGTGTATTCAGTTTTGTTATCGTATGCTTTGATTTCTTAGGTTTACTGAAATAATGATAATAATCACATATACTACATCAATAACCTTGGAGGTATGGTTACTCCAAAATCGGAGTGTCTGCACCTTTGAAAACTCTGAATTTGGAGCTTTAAAAACTTCCATTCAGGCCATTGAAGAGGATCTGAAAAAAAAAATGATATTCATGCCATGGCCAAGTTATGTCAGTGTGATATTATTGTCAAACCAGCTGATAATGAAGCTACCACTGTCGTTATGGACATTAAAAACTAAACTATCTTTTTCACTATTGTTAACTCACAGAGAACCCTAACTCTAGAAATTTCTAAGGAAGTGGAAAAATATCAAGTATTAACGATGAGTAAAAAAGGTTCTATCGATCCCAAAATTGGACCCCATCATATCCAGGTTGACCCAGCACGTTTCTGTGTCTTACCCAAAATCACAAAGCAGGCTATCTTGGCAAACCCATCATTTTGGGCAACGGTACTGCTACAGAAAACAAATTCTCAATATGTGGATAATTTATAAAGACCGTTGTTGCTCTCCACCTGTATGTTCAGGATTAGACGGTCTATATCCGCAAAATTGACCAAATTAAAAATTTACCTAATAAAACTGTTCTGACTACACTTGATATTTCGTGATATAATAATATCCCTCACAAGGCAGGTGTTAATGCGTTTATTCCAGATTACAAGCAAATTCGGGGCAAACCCCATCTAAATCTCATCTACGTGAACATACTTTAATGATTCAGACCAATATCAATTTTGCTTTCGGGGGTGGTCAATACTTTTAAATTCATGGCACAGCGAAAGGCACAAAAATGACTCCATCTTTTGCAAATTAATTATGTATTATTATTTAGTTATGGGACAATTTGAGGTCAACTTCCTGCACCACAGCCCAAGGAACCACATGTTTGTTTTTTTGTTGCATTGATATTATCATCATGATTTGTTCTTTAGAAATTTTTTTTAATTTATTTTTTTCATTTATTCAGGTATAAAAGCCTCAAAATACAATTCAAGATTGAAATGAAGAGCTTACATAAAAATCAATGAAGAAAAATACAAAAATATAAAAACCAGCAATTAACATTTGAGAAAAATTTCAAATTACAAAAAAAATTTAATTATTTATTATTTACAATTAATATTAAAATTTCAATCAGCATAAATTGATTAATTAAATCAATTAATTAGAATTTTAAGTTATTAATATATACAAATTTCATTAAAAACAGTTAACAGTCATAACCCTATTCGAACAATTACATTACACATTAAAAAATCAATAAACAAAACAAAACCAGTTCAATTCAGGAAGTACATTACCAATTATCCAAATTAATCTTTACTTAACAGTCCAATAACACTTGGAATAGTTGACTTGGCAAATCTTTTTGTTCGACAGCGTAGTACAAAATACCGATTAACCTTTCGAAGTGATCTTATTGGTTCTTACAGAGATCCATTCCTTAAAGCGTTCTGATGATAGCAGATTCTTTCCAAAATTTAGGAGGTTAATAATTCGTCTCTGATGCAACGTACTTAAATTCAGTACATCAAGAGAATTCGCATAACTATCATAATTCCGACATCCAATTATAATTTTAACGTTTTTGAACAAATTCGAGCTCATCACTCTGTTTTTTTGTAATTGAAGAATGCCAAAGAGAACTGGCATATTCTAAAATGGGACGAATATACATATTAAAGGTAAAAATAATATCATCAGTTGAGGCTCCATATCGCTTCAAAATATGCAACATATAAAGCCTACGTGATGCCTTGGACACAACTTCAACATAGGATGAGGGCAGCATTCATGGTCAGAGAAACTCTCTAGATTTGGGAAAATAACTGAGCTAGTTTTCACCTTATAGATTTCACTTTTTGAAATTGTTGATGGGCTAACCCATGTAATTATGCCTAAGACTAAAGAAGGTGGTAATCCAGGCAAAAAAAGCAACAGTAAAAGCCAGAAAAAACTACAACAATCTGCTAGGCCTAGACCTGAGACTGCTGACACAAGGGACAAAGGAGTTGGCAGTGGAAGTGATGGGGAACTGCTGGGGGTGGATCATAGCCTAGGCTTAGGCCATGAGGTCTCACATGATGTTAGCTGTTTAAAGTGCAGTAACATTATTCATGAAGATGCTAAAGCTATTGCATGTGATCAATGTAGTCTTTGGTTCCACCAACAATGTACAGAATTAACAGCTGCGGAATATAAGATGTTGGAAAAAAGTGGATCTCGGATCAAGTGGTTCTGCAATAATTGTGAGAATGGCAAAGCTACAACTGCACAGAAAGACCAGACTTTTGAGTGGCAATCAAAATTTGGCTTATTGATGAAAAAAATAGATGCACTAGCCAAACGGTTCACTAGGATTGAAGAGGAGATGTTCAAAAGAGACCAACATATTGAAAAGCTAGTTGAAGAAAAAGTCAGTGAGTACATGGATGATTTTTATGCAAGGGAGATGAGAAAGTGTAATATTATTTTACATAATGTTCCTGAATCTGACAAGGAGAATGTTGAGGAAAGAATAACTTACGATATTTCCAAGGTCAAGCATGTTTTCAATTT